CACTCCATTGTGCAGCCTTCATTCTGGACTCCTGTCATAACAATAATACCCAATCATATATCCCATTTAAACAGTTCTCTTCCTTGTTTTAAGTCAGTTTCTTTAAAAAATATTTAAGGAGCAAATAAGCAAAATGAAATGAGGGAAGATAGATCACATTAAACCATATAGACACCACAAGCAGAGATCTAGCTGAAGCAGAGAGAATCTTCTTCCAGAACTGACAGCAAGAAAAAGCTGTCCCTAGAGCTGGCAACCTGAATGTAGACTTCTGCTATCCTAAACTCTGAGAAAATAAATTTCTTTTCTCTAAAGCTACCAAGTTGTGGAATTTCTGTCCTCAGCAGTGTTACTGAACACAAGGAGTTCTTTCTATAGTCAGTTGTCCATAAGACAGATGGATTGTAATAATACAAAGCACGTTATTGCAGATTTAGGAGAGCAGAGAAAATCCTCTCAAAAACTGCCCCCTTGTCTAAGAGTGGTCATGGGTATACGTGGGTTAGATGTTACAGTTACTGGTAAACAAATAGCTTGTGGTGTAGTTTACTTATTATGTATAACTGAGAAAAACACTTTCAAAGAGAAAAATACTAATTCAGTTACATATAACTGAGAAAAACCTCTCCAAAGAGGTAAATGCTAATCCACAAAAGAATTACATATAACAGAAAAACAGTTTCAAAGAGGTAGACCCTAATCTAGGAAAGATGCATTTCCTTTCCTGGTAAACAGTGTAAAGTACTTTACATGACTAAACAAAAATAGAATTCAAGAGCAAAGCAACCAGTTTTGCAGACTGCAGGCAACTGATGTCAGTTTTACAACTACACCATATGTTCAAATAATCCTGAATTTATTAACACCACCCTGTCATCAGCACCAGATAATCAGGACACATGATGTGGAAAGCTTTTTAGAATTCATTTAAATGCTGCTACAATTTTTTTTAAACGCTGCTACTTTTGCATCCGTATTTCTGAGCACGAAATTAATTTTTAGATTAACGTACAAGTTTCCAAAATGAAGATCCACGTCACTGGGATTCCTGCTGGATTTCCTGCAGATCAGATGAGAGACAAATTAGAATTGAGCTTTTGTAAAAGTCGAAATGGCGGTGGAGAGGTGGAGTGCGTGGAGTACGATAACCAGTCCTGCAGTGCAGTCATCACATTCGTGGAGATTGGAGGTACTCATGCATTCAGGAAGCTAACACTCTGCTGACTGTTCGGTTATGTTCTGCCGTTTCTAAAAGCATCGCAATCCTACTCTTTTTAACTTGGGATTTTTTAGATAGTATAATCGTTGTTGTTATGTGCTGTCGAGTCACTTGTGACTCATAGCGACCCTGTATACAGCGGCCCTAAACTCTGCTCTGTCCTGTGCCAATCGCACTGTCTCTGACACTCCCATCCTGTTTACCCCAGTCACTGAATCAGTCCACCTCATAGAGGGCCTTCCCCTCCTGCGCTGTCCCTCAACCCTACCAAACATGATGTTCTTCTCCAAGGACCGGTTGGTCTCTCCTTAAACATGGCCAAAGTATGTTAGACCGAGCCTCAGAATCCTTGCCCCCAAGGAGCAGCCCGGGTTAACCCTCTCTACTATGAATCTGTTAGTTTTCCTCGCAGTCCATGGTATTCTCAATACTCTTCTCCAGCACCACAGCTCAAAGGCATCAATTCTCCTTCTATCCTCCTTGGTCATTGTCCAACTCTCTGATGCATAACAAGTGATAGCAAAGACCATGGCCTGTATCAGACGCACCTTAGTCTCCAGAGAGGCACCATTGCTCTTCAGTACTTTGGATTTATTAGGGATTTTTTTAACCTTGTGAAATTATGAAAACTTTCCATGAATGCTACTGAGAAGTATACTATTCCTACAAATAGCAAATATGTAGATTTCACAGAATTCTTACCATGTGGCAGACATGATGTTAGATGTTCTAACCTCATTATCACCTTTAATCCTCAGCACAGTTCTGGGAGGTAGCTATTACACCCATTTTCTTGGTGAGGAAACTGAAGTTTAAGGAGATTAACTAATTTACCTCAGATGACACAGTGATAAAGCCATCACACAAGTCACTCTTTGCTCTTATCATGTTCTTTTCCTCTCTTTTTCCTGAACGTGGCACATCAGTAATTGTGCCCCATCTGTGCCATCTTTCTTTTCAAGGTGGAACCAATTTTATTTTAAAATTAGTGACTAATGCCTTTTTCCAAGCCAAGGGAATGAGATAGTTTATTAAGGGCATATTTTAAATTATACATAAAGTTTTAAAATGTCAGGTTGTCTAGTCTGAACAAAAGCTCTTTACCACTGTCCTTGTGGTAAAGAGCTGTGCTCCCAACTCAAAGGCATGTGGTTTGAATCCACCCACTGCTCTGAGGCAGAAAGATAGACAATTACTTCCATGTAATTTACTGCCTCTGAAAACCCACTGGAGGGTTGGCTATGAGTCAGTTCTGAATTGTTGGTACAGAATACTACGACTAACTATCTAGTTTGATGGAATACAATTCTTTAGTGGCTCATATACTTTTATTCATAACAATTAGAAATTCTATCTATCTATCTATCTATCTATCTATCTATCTATCTATCTATCTATCTATATCTTTCTCTGTCATCTACCAATAGACATATAAAGGAGATAGACATGTTGTTAGCTGCTGTGTAAATAGCCTTTGACTCTATTTACAGGGAGAACTGATACTTGTCATCTATAAGATTTTAATTGGCAGATTCCCCCCCCCCAAAAGGGTATTACTAGCTTCTTCTCCCTAATCCATCTTAGTCTGGTTGTTGCCAGGTACCAGGGAGTCAACTCAGACTCATAGCGACCCTATGAACAATACCTTGAAGCCTTGCCTGCATCATCATCACAATCTCCATCATGTTCAAACCCACCGATGCAGTCACTGTGTCAATCCATTCTTTAAGAATCTTCTCTTGTGCTGACCCTCTGCTTATCACAGTGTGATATCTTTTTCCAAGGACTCATGCCTATGGACAACATTCCCAAAGTGTGTGAGACTAAATTTCATCATCCTTACCTCCAACAGGGGCAATGAGATAGCTTATTAAAAGTAGATTTTAAAGTCTACCTAGATTCTTTGCACATAAAGTTATCTAGTTTCCTCCAAGACAGATTACACTTCCTCTAAGACAGATTTGTCTGTTATTTTGACAGTCCATGGCATATTCAATACTCTTCACCAATACCATAGTTCAAAGACATCAGTCCCTTATCACTCTTCTTCATTCACTGTCCACTATCCATATAAAGCAGTGGGAAATACCCTGTCTTGGATCATTCATGTCTCATTCTTTGAATTGACATCCTTGCTCTTTAGCATTTTATAAAGGTCCTTCACAGAAGATTTGCCCAAAGCAACATGTATTGATTACCTGACTGCTGTTTCTAGGGGTGTTGATTGTGGATCCAAGTAAAATGAAATTTTTGATAACTTCAATCTTGTCTCCTTTTATAATAATGGCTTTATTTGTCCAGTGGTGAGGATTTTTATTTTCTTCATGTTAAAATGTAATCCCCGTTGAAATCTTAAGAGCTTCTTTAGGAAATGTTTTAAGTCTTCACTTTCTGCAAGCAAGATTGTATCATTTGCATAAGATGGTTTATTAATAAGTCTTCTTCCAATTCTGATGCCATGTTGTTTTTGCATGGCCCAAATTTACAAAATTATTTGCTCAATGTACAGATTGAATAGGTCCAGTGACACCTACCTTTCTGATTTTAAAACATGCAGTGCCTTCCTGCTCTGTTTGAATGACTACTTCTCTTGATCTATGTACATGCTTTCCAAGAGTACAGTTAGGTGTTCTGGCATTTTTACTCTTCTCAATGTTGTCCGTAACTTATATGATTCACACAGTTGAATGTCTTTGCATAGTCAATAAAAAAGACAAACATCTTTCTAGTATCCTCTTCTTTCAGCTACAATCCACCTGACATCAGCAGTGATATCCTTCATTCCATGGCCTCTTCTTTATCCAAGTTGACTTTCTGGGAGTTTCCTGCACATTTATAGCTCCAGCCAATGTTGGATAATTTTTGGCAAGATTTTACTTGTGTGTGATAATAATGTTATCTTCTGTAATTTCTGCATTCTACTGATCATTTATATGAGTCTTTTCCAGCTTGTTCATCATGTAGTTGTCTTTTAAATTTCTTGGCATAGACAAGTGAGCACGTTCAACACTGCATCTGTTTATTGAAACATCTCAGTTCGTATTCC